CTGCTGTTAGGGTCAATTTGCATATTACCCTTTTATTATATGCCTGGTGCATGGGTGGGGGCTGGCTGGTTTGCCCTGAAGGGTGTCCTGGATCAGGGTGGGGGACCCACTGGGGTGCCTGGCCAGCCTGGGTGAGGGGCTGATGGCTGTTTGCAGGCTGGCCACAGCCCCCAGTCACCCAAGCTCCCAGTGGAGGCTGGCTGGAAGCAGGTATCTGGGGTTTATTTATCTTCTATAATTGAAACTTTGCCTTTAGTGGAGACCACAGCTGGCCAGGGCAGGCGGGAAGCTTGGCTTCCTCCATCACCAGGTCAACCAAGCCTCCTGCTTGCTCCAGCTCCGTGGCTGCTGGCCACCATCTTGGTTGGGTTAATTTGCATACAGTTGCTCTGATTGGCTGGTTGGCGTGGCTTGGGGCATAGCGAAGGTACAGTCAATTTGCATGTTTCTCTTTTATTAGATTAGATATATATAGATGACCTGCCCTGAAACAGAAATCATTTGTCATTAGGGCATTAGGGCATTGGGGCTTGGCTTTAGGAGTGAGAAAGATAGTTGAAGGATATATTAGCATCATGGAAGGACCTTTAACATCAGCTGAATGATTTTGTAGGCAAAGGAAATTCATGAAAGGGGTTTAAGCACAGCAGTGATAGAACCAAATATGAGATTTTGTTCTGTTACTCTCGTAGTAGATTGAGGAAGGATTGGAGTGACTGTGGACAGAAACAGGGAAACAAATTGCAAATCTAACTGGAAGATTGTAAGAGATGATGAAAGACTTGACTAGGCCAACAATTCAGAGGAGTTAAAGAAAAGGAATGGCATGGGGTAAATGTCATAGGTAGAATTTTCAGAATGGGATGAAATTGGCGATGAGCAGGAAGGATCCCAGAAGACCCTGAGGTTTCTGGATTTTGGGTGAGAGGGGATGTGACAGAGATGAGGAACATGGGAGGGAGTACAAGTATGTAACTGAGACAGTGGTCTTGCATTTAGATCAGTTGAATTTGAGGTGTTGATGAAAAATCTAGGTGGGGTTTTGTAGCAAATAATTCGTCTTGTTAGTCTCTAGCCTAGGAAAAAGAGTGCAATAGATGTCTGAATTTGGAACTCATTAGATTATAAATAATATTCCCAATGTGGAAGCTGTGATGTGAAACACCAGACAGATTACATTTGGAGTTTTGAGGGCAATGATGCTTAAGGGGCAGATGCATGAAGAAAAATCAAAGAGAAGAATGACTAGAGGTAGGGAGAGAACCAGGAAAAATGTGTCATGGAAACCCAGGGGATGGGGGGAAATTCACAAGAATTGAAGGCTTCTCAAAGGTGACCAGAATCCAGTTTGCATACCTCTAAGGCAGTGGTTCTCAACCTTCCTAATGCTGCGACCCTTTATTACAGTTCCTCATGTTGTGGTGACCCCCAATTTCATTGTTACAAATTGAACATAATTAAAGCATAGTGATTAATCACAAAAACAATATGTAATTATATATGTGTTTTCTGATGGTCTTAGGCGACCCCTGTGAAAGGGTCGTTCGACCCCCAAAGGGTCTCGACCCACAGGTTGAGAACAGCTGCTCTAAGGTAATCCAGAAGGCAGCATAGGGAACAGGTAGAGGGAGTGAGCTGGTCTATTCACTGTCCTAAAAGCATATATCTAGCCCTAACTGGTTTGGCTCAGTGGATAGAGCATCGGCCTGCGGACTGAAGGGTCCCAGGTTCGATTCCGGTCAAGGGCATGTACCTTGGTTGCAGGCACATCCCCAGTAGGATGTGTGCAGGAGGCAGCTGATCGATGTTTCTAACTCTCTATTCCTCTCCCTTCCTCTCTGTAAAAAAATCAATAAAATATATATTTTTAAAAAGCATATATCTAGCATTTATTATGTGCCTGATATACTATTTAGGCATCAGAGATATTAGAGTAAATAAAGCATTGTTTTCACTTTATGAAGTTTCACCATTCCTGTCATTCTCTCTAATCAAATCTCTTGGAGTCCTTTAAGGCCCAGATTTCTCACCTTTACCATAAACACTCCCCTAAGCATGCTGGCCCAGTAAAGGTTCCTTTCTCTAGATATTACCTGCAATATTTGGCTGACATTTATATTATTTAGCATTTTAATTATCATTGCATTTGCTCATGTCATCTCACCATAACAACTGCAAATTATTTGAGGAAAAGGGTTTTATAGTCTAGATTTTTCCTTCACAATTACTGCCCCTACTTTTCTGTATTAAGTGCTTAGAAATACTTCTGAATGGTCTCCTCCTATTCTCCATCCCCCTTTATACTTATGGTCTTCTTAGACAGGGCAAAGTCCTGTGCTATAGCAATGAGCTAGATTAATCTGATCCCTACTTTCACATGAAAAATATTTGATATTTTATATTAAAAATAAATTATTTGAGATGATAATATATGTTAAATGACACTATGACAAGGTAAAGTAATAGAGAAAAACCAGGAAATGAAAGAAGACAGTGTGAACAAGAGTGGTTATCGAATAGTTTTCTGAGGAGGTGACTTTTAGATGAGCTTTAGGGCGAAGAACTAGCCATGAGAAAAGCAGAAATGAAAGCAAGGACAGAGGGCCTAAAATGTTTTTAAGTTCCAGGAACAAAAAGAACATTATTTACTTAGAATATAATGAAAGAAAAAGATAGTAGAAGATAAGGTACTGTTTCTGTACCCAGAGCTGACTGTGATCCTTTAGTATTTCAGATAATCAACTTTCAGGGTTAACAGAGAAAAAAAATGCTATTTTATATCTAGGGAATTCCTCAGGGGAGGAATAAAAAGAACTATTATTGTTCCAACCCCTTGCATTGCTATTGTTGTGATTCATAACAATATGAAATCAACTGGGCTTTAATCTGTACTTAGTACATAATGGGTGTTACTCTCATTGTTTGTCAGTTTTATCCTTGTTTACATTAATAATCATGGGGACACAACAGTTGCAAAAGCAGCCACAATAGAAATAATAACAATGAAAAATATACATCTGTAAGTTTCAACATTCTTGCATGATGATTGTATGTAGACTCCTGCCCATCTACATAGTAATATATTGACTTAAGCAATTCAGAGATTATAAAAAACTAACCCTGATTACTTCACTACAGAAGTAATTTGCAGTCAGTTATTGGTCATAGAACACTTTCTCAGTTTTATCCTTGTTTACATTAATAATCATGGGGACGCAACAGTTGCAAAAGCATCCACAATAGAAATAATAACAATGAAAAATACACATCTGTAAGTTTCAACATTCTTGCATGAGGATTGTATGTAGACTCCTGCCCATCTACATAGTAATATATTGACTTAAGCAATTCAGAGATTATAAAAAACTAACCCTGATTACTTCACTACAGAAGTAATTTGCAGTCAGTTATTGGTCATAGAACACTTTCAGAAGCTAATAAAAGTTAGAAGCAATTTTCCTGGAAAAAATGCAAATAGTCACATTTACACAAAATATGAATAAAAATTTAAAGGCTATTTAACAACCAGCCATGTAGCTCAGAATATCTAATCAAGGGCTGTCAACATTTATTGTACTAGAGGCCCGGTGCACAAAATTTGTGCACTAGAGGGTTGGGGGTTGGTCCCTCAGTCCGGCCTGCGCCCTCTCGCAATCCGGGACCCCTCAAAGGATGTCTGACAAGTGAACATCCCTCTCGCAGTCCAGGGCTCTCGCAGTCTGAGACCCCTTGCTTCTTACTGCCCCCCTGAAGCGGAGGTGGGAGAGGCTCCCGCCACCACCACTGCGTTATGCTCGCCAGCTAGTCCGGCCTGCGCCCTCTCGCAGTCCGGGACCCCTCAAAGGATGTCTGACAAGTGGACATCCCTCTCGCAGTCTGGGGCTCTCGCAGTCCGAGACCCCTTGCTTCTTACTGCCCCACTGCGCTATGCTCGCCAGCCGTGAGCCTGTCTTCTGGCTGAGCGGCACTCCCCCTGTGGGAGCATAGTGACCACCAGGGGGCAGTTTCTGTGTTGAGCTTCTGCATTCTGGTTGTCAGTGCGCATCATAGCGACTGGTCATTCTGCCTGTCATTCCGCAGGGCTTCTGCATTCTGGTTGTCAGTGCGCATCATAGCGACCAGTCATTCTGCCTGTCATTCCGCAGGTTGGTCGATTTGCATATTAGGGTTTTATTATATAGGATATCAGAATCACCTGAAAGCTTGTTAGAAAGCATATCCTTAGCTTTGTCCCAGGAAGGTACAAGGTGAAATGGAGGAACTTGTATTTTGTGTAAGTTCTCCAGGGAATTCTAAAGCAGTTAGATAATAGATCAGTTTTCCAAACTTTGCTTAGGGGTCTATGAAGGAGAGAATTGGAGAGCAGAGGCTCAGAGAAGTGGAGATTGAAAGTACCTAGAAGTTCAAAATGAATTGGATCCTGGAGAGTTGAAATTGAGGAGATTAATAAATGGGGAAGAATGAACAGGGTGAAGTAGAAGTAAAAATCAGAGCTATGTAGACTGGAGTAAGATGTATGAGAAGTTGGGCAAAGGGGCTTGGAAACAGATTGAGAACATTGGGGGGATTCTCAAGTGTGTGATCTGCCACCAGGGAAATCCCTCACAATCAAAACAAACATTCATATAGATTGTCTATGAGGAGAGATTAGCCATTGTCTCTAACCCTTTTGAGTTACTCCAATGAGAAAATAAAGGCAGGAATTATCACAACTGTAACCACTGAGCACACCATTACCCACTACCTTTACCAAAGAATTACAGTGTCTGCGCTGGGGTGGTCCTGTATTCCCTTAACTGGATAGATAAGCAAACTGAAACACAGAGATCACCCAAAGAAAAAGCACTTGTTCAAGACCAGAACCTGGTTTTCTGTCTCCTGGTCTGGTGATCTTCCTTACTTGGTCCTGAGATTTAAAAAAATATTTTATGGAACCAGTTGATAGGAATGTGCTCACCCCAAAGAGCTCAGGGAAATTTCATTCAGGTGCAAATGGGATGTAAGGTAGGGCAACACTTTTTAATTAAAATCATACATTGGCATGCACCAAATTTTGATTCTCATTCATTTTAATGCAATGTGGTCATTTGCCAACAGCAAACTGGACAAAAGCAGGACTTGTCTCAGTGCTTATGGGTTCCTCTCTATGGAGCTGAGGATGAACGCCACTCCATCCTCAATGATTTCTGTGCCCAAAAGGGTTAGGAATGTCCTCACATCCTCTTGTTCTTTGTCTGAGGCATCTGGCTTGTCCTTTGGCTTGTCCTTTGGCTTGTCCTTTGGCTTGTCCTCTGACTTGTCCTCTGACTTGTCCTCTGGCTTGTCCTCTGACTTATCCTCTGACTTGTCATCTGGTTTGTCATCTGAAAAACACAACAGAATCTCAGAGGTGATTCTCAGCAACAAGAACAGAATGTCTCTCTTTTTTGTAGGAAGCACCTAGCGCCCATTGTACTCCCACTCAGTAACTTAGGAGTATAAACACTTCCTACCCAGTGAAAGCCTTCACATGTTTTATATCACTTATTCCTAAAAACAATCAAGCAGACAAAGAGGCATTGATCCTTTGGTTCCCTTCCTGAAGTTCATGGAGGTTAAGTAATGTGGCCCCAGTAAAGCTACTATCTGATTGAAATACGGAATTCCTGGTTTCACTTCAATTACATGGTCTCTCTCTCTCTCTCCGTGTAATCCCTGGGCCCATGGTAATGATAATAATGAAGATGAAATACTAATGACTAGCATTTGTTGACCACATACCTATGATAGGAAATCCACATACATTGTCTCATTTTATTCTCAAACAAACCTATGAGGTAGGCAAAATCATTATGCCGAATGAAGGTAAAGAAATGGAATCTGAGACAGGTTTAGAAGCTGGTTCACAGCCACAGTGTTAGTAAGTGGCAGAGACAGAATTGCAATCTCCTGTCTGTCTGGTATTCAAATCTGGATCCTTAAGCACTCAGTGATGAGCTGCATGGTCTTTGACAGAAAAGTTGTGATCTAACTACAAGTGTGTTATAAGATTGAAGGCGGTATAATAATGATGACAAGGAGAAATTCTATCACTTGTACATTATCTATCTGATAGTTCTGAAAATAATGGTTTTACAAAAGCTGTGTAACTTTACCCTTAATCAATCTTATGGGGTATGTATATTTTTGCTCATTAGACTAAGAAACTGAAAATATTGGATGACTTGCAGAAGACGCACAAATAGCAAGAGAAGATGAAACTATAACTGGGAGCCTCTTAACCAAGTGCCCTTTAGAATGAGGCCGAGGATCTAAAGAGTGAGGTTGGAGGTTGGTGACATGTAAGTTTCCTTGGGAATGGGGGGTGGGCTTTACTTAGTGGTCTAAACGATTAGGAGATTAGATGGAATGAAAGAGGGGCAATTTGCAGCACATATGGCCCCCTCACTGGACCTTAGTGCCAGAATGGAGTAGGATCTTTATCTTTTTGTTTTATTATAGCCTCAGGAGTTGTGCTGGCAGATCTGGTAAATCATAACACAGGATGCCCAGTTAAAGTTGAATTTCAGATAAACAATAGTTTTCAGCTTAAGAATGACCCATGCAATATTTAGGACATACTTAAATAAAAACAGTTATTCATTGTTTATCCAATACTCAAACTTAACTGGCTGTCCTGTATTTTATCTGCAACCCCGTCGCAAGTTTTGACTCGAGAGGTCCCAACTACTGGACACCGTACCTGAGGACTCTGAATGAAGGAGTTGTAATTAGCTTTTTGTGTGGAGGTTGTCAAATTATGTCAGAAGCCTTGCATCTATATTGTATCCTAAAATAGAAACTCTAAGTAAAAAGATGTGGCTTTCAGTTCTACAAACATTTATTGCTTGCCATGCCATAACAAAAGATTGGAGAGGAGCACCAATCTGGGACATGTAACCAAAATCAATATACTAATCACCAAGTATTCATTCATTCATTCAGTTGTTGGGTGTTTTTCTGTTGTTGTTGTTCAACAAGGATATTTTGAGCCTACTATTATATACATAACATAGGCTAAGAGTTAGGGTAAAAGTGGACATTTATGGGCATGACTCTCACATAAGGTGCAGGGCAACCACAGTGACCAGAATAGCTTTGTTTTTATCATGGGAAGGGGAGGAAAGAGACTGTGTATTTCTGATGCTGTGCCTGTTGTGCAGGGCCTGGGATAGTGCTTTCATAGCATGCCTTAATCCTTATTCAGGCCGATGATGATAATATAGTGTTACAAGAGAGAAAACAAGATGCTTAGAGAAATTAGATGACTCACCTAAAATCACACATCTAGAAAGTGGCTGAGTCAGGTTTTGACCTAATTTATGTTTAACTCCACAGACCTTGTAACTTATATGATATAATACAGCCTTCAAGCAGTTATCCCCTGAAGACATTTACCAGGTGCAAAACAGAGGTTCCTTACATGAAAAGTGAATTCTTTTTTTTTTCTGTGTTCCTATCTGCCTACTGGCATAACCAGATTTTTTTTTAATTTTAATATGACACTAAGTGGTAGCTTTTCAATATGCAAGGAGCTCTGGGTTGGAGTGTGTGAAGATCTGATCGTTGGCCCCAGTCCTTGGACCACGTACATACTGAGTGGTATTAGGGTCTGGTGGATCATATGTTTTAGAATCCTACATACTTGCGTTTAATTCATGTGTTCAAAAATTATCCATGTAACCTTACACACAATATTTAACCACACTCTCAGTTTCCTCATTGTGTCATTATAAAGATTAAGAAAATATTTCATATGTCTTTCATATATATCATATATGTATGTATATATGTGTGTGTGTACAAATATTATGTTCTATATATACCACTTACAGTACCAGCCCCAAGGTAAGCTCACAGTAAGTTATTGTTATATTATTATTACTATTATTAATAATAATAACAAAATGATTTGTAGTAGCTTTCTCCTCTAGTGCTTTTGGAAATGATGCAAATTAGAAAATGTTAAAATATTAAGAAATTTGAGGAAAATAAAATAAAAATACATAACAACAATAATAAAATTAAGAAATGTAGTATACTAGAAACAAATTATCAAAGCCAATAGTTGAATATTTTCTCTTTTCAAATATAGGATAGCTCTTATTTACATTAAGAATTTCTTAGTCAATGAAATAATAAAGTTCTGAAAAAATACTATAATAATGATAATGTCCAGTTTTTATAATTTACAAGTGATTACAAAAGCTTGTTCATTTGATCTGGTGAAGTTTATAGTTATCCCATTTTACAGATGAAGAAACTGAGGTTCAAAGCAGTGAACTGATTTAACCAGTTTCAGAGTTCATAAGAGACAGAACTGGGACTGGCTTTTAGGATATCAGTCTCACCTTTTACCTAACCAGGGGGATTACTTTAGGAGTGGATGGACACAGTATTCTCTGAGACCATCTCTACAGTAATTCTGTTGGAGTGTCTGCCTGTGTGTTGTGCCAGTGGACAATGGGTGGCTGAGGGTGTGAGTTCTGCTGAGTTACATTTAGAACAGTTTCAAGAGCAGTCTTTGCTCTCTCTGTGTTTTCTGACCATTCTGAACAGAGAGGAGTCACGAGTTCACTGTCTTCTACAGATAAGAAAAGAAATTAATTTATGAGAATTCTGCATGCTGCTTTGTGGTTCTCTGTGTGCTTGAAACAGACATGAAAGAAATAGATGCTTAGTTATAATGGGAAGAACTGAGGGATTTAGGTTTTAGTGCCACCTGTGCCACTACCAGTGTCTATGATCAAGTAACTTTTCCTTTGCAAGTGGTTTGTTAACCTGAAAAAAGGGCAGTGGTAAAACTGTGCATGCTTACATAAAAGGACTATTATGATAATTAAATGAAATAATAGTGATAACAATAACAGCTAATATTTACTGGTGCTTATTATGGACTAAATACTTTTAAAATTTTTGTCTCATTTAATTTTCATGATAAATGTATGAGAAAGTTAACTATTGACATTTTATTTTACATGTGAGGCCCAGAGAAGTTAAATAAAATACATGAAATCACATTTCTGATTAGTCGTGAAGTCACACCTAGGAGTCTTATTTCAGTGTTGATAACCTTCACCTTTGAGCATTATTAGTTATAATCATAAAAAAAACTCAAAACACCCCAGCTCTCCTAATTTATAATATAATAGTGTTACTATATCACACAAGTATATGTAAAAAAGCCATCATTTCAAACTCCATACATTCACTGAGGACAGAGGCTGTAACTGAAGCACATTGAAGAAAAATCCTACTTGCTTTTTGCCAGAAGATCTGTCTTTGGTCTCCTAGTCCATTGCCCCAAAGTCCCTCCCCCTCCCTGCCCTTTATGTTCTGGGTCAGTGCCACCAACTTCCTCCAACCATGGCTAACCACTGCACGAGCTGTCGCTGGAAGCACTTACCAGCATGGCAAGTCAGGATCAAGGCGAGCAGTCCCAGGACAACTGTCATCCGAAGCACTGAGATGGCCATGATTGCAGCTCTGGGTATTGGTACAGATAAAGCGTTCCAGTGCACCTGTAGCCTTGCTCCATTTATAAGTCATTTGCAGGTGACATCATCTGCTATGGAATTTAGGCTGTTGCACAAAATGTCTCCACAGCATGCTCTGGGATCTAATGAGCCCTGCCCAATCTTTCAAACCTAAAGTTTTTCACATGGGGGAAGAAAAGCCCTTTTTGGTTTTTCTAGTGTATATTTACCAATAGCATTGTAATAACTCTTTTGGAGGTAGTTCCTATGCCAGCATTAACAATTAGACGGGTATCGGGCAGAATTATTATTCAGTGCCAAGAAGTAAGCATTAAATCAGATTGGTGAGGTGTGCCTACTTTCGTCCCTGAGCACTCTGCTTCTTTCCCCATGCTCTGAGCTAATTACTTGTTCCTACATGGGCATGCCCATTCATACCCCAGGGCCTCTGTTCACGCTCTTTATTTTTTCCTGCTATCCATCAGGCTCCGGTTCAAATGCCCCACTTCTCTATGAACTTTTATGATGACCCTTCCACTGTACCCCAGAGAGTTAGTTGCTCCATCATCTGTCACATAGAACCCTTGGACTATTTTTGGAGAACTAAGTACTTTAATAGCTCTCTTCTCTTTCAGCCTATGGATCTCTTAAGGGTCAGAATGTTTTATTCAGTCCTGAATCCTCAGGGAGCCTAATATTGTGTTTGGCATTGGCCTTAGCTTTGACTTCCTTGGGAAACTTGTATGGTTTTTCCAAAAAGAACTAGGTGTTTCTCTCCTGTGCCTAATAGGTACCAGAATATATGTCTCCACCAATAGGCTGTAGGCTCCTCGAGGGCTAGATTGTCTTTTTCAGAGTTGAATGCACATTATTTGAGGTATATAACAAACAAACAAATAATAATAATAATAATAATAATAATAATAATAAAATTACTGCACACAATAAAAAGAAATATTGGGTTTGAGGTGCTGCTGTGTATTTCAGATGTAAATATTTTTCCTTTTGGATATAAACACTCAAAGGGATACAGTTTGTTCAAGTATAGATACTGGTTATCCTCAGGGATGCTGTAAGTTCAGTTAGTTGAGATGAGGACTTGGGGGTTCCTAAACTTGTAACTTGACCAAAACTTATTGTGACTGTGAGAGGGACCTTTTAATAAATGGTGAGATTAACTGAGGTCTGGGGAAAGGAGGCTTGTCTGGTGTCACAGAGCCAAGGTGAGGACATGGCCCTCTTACTCCCAGTTCCGAACTCTTTACAAGGCGCCAAACTGCACTTGAAAGCTCTGCTTGGATCCTTCCAGTCTCTCCATTTTATCTTCTCAAGAAGACTCTGATCCAGTCTCTCCTACAGAGTTGTGATCCATGGTAGGAAGTGTTCAGCAAGTTGGGGGGATGCCATCAGAGTCAGTTAGAATTGAGCACTGTGCATGTCCAAGTAGCTAGTGCAGAAATAACATTCAAGTGTCCCCCGACTTGTGGCTTTACTTACCTGGGAAAGGGTAGCAATACCTCTTACTATGCACCAGCTTTGAGCCCTCAGGGTTTAACCCATCTTGTGGGGGCATAGTTTTTAAATTCCCTGTAAGAACACTGTACAGGCAAGCAACCTAGGAGAGAGGGCTGCTGGCTTCTCAAGGATATCAGCTACAAGGGGCATGCAGAATCCTGAATCAGATGCTCTAGGTCAGTGGTTCTCAACTTTCCTAATGCCGCGGCCCTTTAATACAGTTCCTCAAATTGCATAGAGAGATTTTGAAGTGTGTGTCATGGTTAAAAACATGGGTGTTGGGATCAGACAGAACTATGACAAACTCGTAGATAGAGAGCAGGTGGCAGGGGGGCTGGTTGGAGGGGTGGAGGGACTGAGTAAAAAAGAAAAAATTGAGAAAAAATTCATGTATATGGACAACATTGTGGTGATTGCCGGTGGTAGGGGAGGTAAGGGGTGGTGATGGAGGTATATGGGGGATAAATAGTGATGGATGGAGACTTGACTTTGGGTGTGAACACACAGTGTACAGAATATGTGTTATAGAATTGTGCACCTGAAACTTGTATAATTTTGTTAATCAGTGTCACCCAATAAATTCAATTTTAAAAAAAAGAACTGAATTTCAGATTTCAGATTTGCCACTTACAAGTTGTGTGACCCTGTGACCTTAGAAATATTTTCTAATTTCCTTATGCATTGAATCCAATGTCCACAAAACAGGAATAAGGCCATCTCTCAGAGTTATGAGGATTAGTTTTGAAAATGCATGCAAACAATTAGCACAGTGCCTTGTACATGCTAAGTGAAAAATAAATGGTAGACTTATTCTGTTCTGTTCTGTCCTGTCCTGTCCTATCCTATTCTATCTTGGGTTGTTCCAGAGGAGGGAGTGATAGCCATGCAAGCAGGATTAGGGCTAATAATAATAGTAACAACAATCCTATCTAATAAAGAGCTAATATGCTAATTAGACCGAACAGCAGAATGATAGTCCAGACGACCATTCAGACGACCTTCCGGACGAAGCTGGAGCTGCGTGGGCCGAGGCAGCTGAGGCTGCAAGGACCGAGCCCCTTGCATGAATTTCATGCATCGGGCCTCTAATTAATAATAATAGGCTATTGTTGTTAACTCTGGCCAAGTATCAAACTAGATGCAACATATCAACAAAGTGTTGGGAAGCTGCTATAATTATCCTAATTTTATATAAGGAAATGTAAGCTTAGATAACTTAATTTTTCCTGGGTCACAAATTCTGTATGAGCTAACGCGGGGGATCGAACTTAAGGTCATGTAACTTTGAAGTCTGTGCTCTTAATTATCACATTATGTTGTGCGGGCACATGCTCAGTGCAGCTACTGGCAAAAAGCCTGGGACACACAAGGAATCCTGCACTCAGGCCAGTTTGTCCACAGATGCACCTGTGTCTGCTCTGTTTTCCCCATTTGTCTCTATATTTCCCATTGACCCACATCATTCACCTCTGTTTTAGCTCAGTTTGAAGTATCAAAGTGCAGGTTACAGAGTGCCCTCATGTAATCCTTGGCAAAAAGAGAGTTGGAGATAGGGCTGCAGAATATAAAATACAAGATGCCCAATTAAATTTGAATTTCAGGTAAATAGTGAGTAAATTTTCACTATTACCCAAATATTTCTCTTTATTTGCTGAATTGGGCAACCCTACCTGAAGAGGGCCTCTGGAGTGTTTTCTTGCATTAGACCTCAGATAAGGAGTAAAGGACAGGGAGGTCAAATAAATAATTGAAAGGTAGTGTGTGAAAAGTAGAACTCATATATGGAATGTGGAAGTTATTGAAGGACCCGAGCTTATCTGTGATATTACATCTGGGGCATGTTCCCCCCCATCCCCAACCCCGTAGTTCTCATGAGACAATAATTAGCTCCTCTCTTGTTTTTGGTTTACTCTAGCTCAAGTTTCATGCCAGCCCTGGAAGAGGTGCATGCGGCTTCAGGAAGGCTTCCCGTTTCCATGGTGCCATGTGCTGAGGGGTGACCACAGTCTTCGTCACCCCAATCACCTTTCTACATATAGCTAATAACTTAGCCAATCCTCATGTCACCAGTCAATTTATTAATTTTTTATTCAGTGGACATTTACTGAGCTTACACTTTGTCAGGTGCTCTGTGAGGCACTGGGGGCAATATACAGATGATGTGTTTTAGAATTATATACCTGAAGCCTATATAATTTTATTAACGAAGTAGAGGCCCGGTGCATGAAATTCGTGCACTGGGGTGGGGGCTCCCTCAGCCCGGCCTGTGCCCTCTCACACTCCGGGAGCCCTCAGGGGATGTCCGACTGATGGCTTAGGCCTGCTGGGAGCAGCAGACATCCTTAGCACTGCTGGGGAGGTGGGAGATGCTCCCACCACCTGCGCTCACCAGCGTGAGCCTGCGTTGACTGTCTGCCCCCTGGTGGTCAGTGCACGTCATAGCAACCTGTCGTTCCTCCATTTGGTCTATTTGCATATTATCCCTTTATTATATTATTATATAAGATGTCACCCCAATAAAGTCAAATAAAATAATAATAAATTGTATGCCCTTGCCTCTGTTGTGGATGCAAACATGTAACCAAATAATTGCAGTTAAATATGAGAAATGCTAATGGAGTTAATGAACAGATTCCTTTGGGAGACGATTAGGGAATGGTTCACATTGCCTGGTGAGGCAGTCATGGAGATATCATTTGTTTGGAACATTGAAAATTGGGTTAGTAGGTGTTCCCCATGTGAGCAAGGTGTGGAGAACACGCTTGAGGTAGGAGGAATGACATCTGCAGGTCACAGGCGTGGAAGAGCACAGCATATTTCTAGGAATGAACCCTCAAATTCTTGGGTATTGATATTAGAAGTAAAAATTATGGTGAACTAACTGAATCTTGAAAGTTGTTTTAATTAATGAACCTGCTAGGAAGAGATAATGAAGAGATCTAGCCAGAGCCAGGGGATAAACAAAACAAAATAAAGCAATTATCTTGCATGCTACTAGGCATCCTGCTCTCTGTCTCTCTTGATTGAATAGCTCAATTCAGTTTAGTAAGAATAATTCTCACTCTTGGAACTTTTCCTATGTGAGAACTCATACATTTCTCACAATTACCTACCTGAAACATAGGTCAGAATGGGCATAATTATCCTCATTTTGGAAATTATTACAAAGAAAAAACAATCTAACAGCAACACTGACAAAAACTGAAGTGTGGACATTTTAATTCACTAATATAATGTCACTCTACTATTAAGGGGCAGAGCTTAGACTTGAACTCAATTCTATATGATACTAAAACCAGTGATAAGAATGTACTTAATGAGGTTCTAGTCTGAAACTTGGGAACCTGGTTACTTCTCATGTACTTATTTATTCATTCTTGCATTTACTCATTTGTCAAAAAATAGTTTGTGTCTTATACCCAAAGAGAGGACTTCACATAAGCTATAGAATTAGGAGTCATCAATGAGAAATAAAGTCATGGGAGCAGATGAGACTAGTCAAGGATAGTGGGTAGAATTAGAATAATTAAGCAG